CTCTCTCTCTCTCTCTCTCTCTCTCTCTCTCTCTCTCTCTCTCTCTCTCTTTCTCTTTCTCTGTCTCTCTCTCTCTCACACACACACACCACATGCATACAATAGAAACATGGTCCAAATATTGAGTGGCATTACTTTTGCTAAAACATTCTTGCTTACCCGATTGGCTGGGTATCCTATCTTTTCCTTGGCTAAATCTGGCAGTCCTATGCTATTTCATTTGAGAGACCAAATGTCCTCCTCAAATGGATGAAAATACCCTCAAGTCCTAAAAAATCCACCCTAACAGCAGTTCCCTCAGCCAGGAAAGACTTCTCTTCCATCTTGTCAAAAGGAGAAGGAATGTCAAGTTGCAAGGACTATATATCCATGCCAGATACATCCATGCAGAGGTGGTTACAGCCTATAGGAGGTCTAGAGTACAGCGTGTGTGCTCAACACAGCAGCTGCCCTTCTGGGTACCTCCAGCCTCCGTGTTTCTTCTGCAGGCTCCAAGGGAAGGCTTTGCTGATGACGTTCATCTTCTGGGCTGCTGAGTGGCACAAGAACTAGGAAGGGCCAGGGTTCATCAGTCCCCCTCTGCTTGAGGACCAAGAATAATGACCCAGACCTGCCCAGCAGAAGAGAGTCCCAAAGAGCAAGGAATAGGGACTGGTGGAAGGAGTTTTAAGAGAGGTTTTAAGGACAGAGGTGGGATTTTCCAGGCCCCAAGTTGAGATCCAGTGAAGGGTCATGGGCCTCCGCCTCTTCCTCCTACTCTCACTGGCTACCTCTGCTCAGACAGCTATGCATGGCCTCCTGGGGATTAGGACTGACAATGGAGTTAAAACAAAGGCCGTTTCAGGAGCTTCACTGCAGAACCAGTACTGTTCCATTTAATCTTTTCAGTGTCCCTATGACTAGGTTTCAAGGTGTTCAGTGATGTACAGAGGGTTAGTGGCATTGAACTTGGGTACAAATTTTACACCCGGGTTCTACCACTTCCTCTGATGTTGAACCATGTGAAACCCCCATTTTCATCAAGAACAGCTGAATACTGGCAGTTTCATCTGGTACAATCTGTGTGGTTATCATTTTGGGGACCTTCTTAAAATGGAAACGAGAGTAGTGTTTTGTCATGCTTGTGATAATGAAATGATATAATGTAAGGCCATCCTGTGTACTAAATAAATGTAAGTCAGTGTCATCGCCTTCCTGGGCATCATCTTCATCATCACAGTATGTTTTGGCCGCCCAAGAAAATGGTGCGATCACAGACAGCGTCCCTGGCCACTGGGGAGAGGATTCAGTGGGATGAAGACAGCTCTTGAATCCTACGTCCGAAGAACTTTGGGGAGTGACGGGAACATTAAGCGCCATCTGACACAGGAGCCACCAACCATGTGTAGCCACTGAGCCCTTGAAATACAGACAGTGTGGTCCAGGAAGTAAGTTTTACTCAATTTTAATGCATTTCCTTTTAAAGTTAAGCAGGCACATGTGGCTAGAAGGTGTCATATAGGTCTGTACTCTGCCCTCATGGAGGTATCAGCTTCTGAGAAGTGTTTGTCTTTTTGAGGGGAAGAAGTACAAAGAAGAGAAACTGTCTGCCTTTGCTGGCTGAAACTGGGATGGATTTTCAGGTCAACATGTACAGAAGTGTAAATTGCTGTGGCTGATCTGACTGGTAAACCAGAATGGCCTGCTTTATTAAACAGCAAAGGAGGCAAAATCATCCAAAAGATGAGCAACAACAGTAGCAAAAATCTCTGAGCAGACCAGCTCCATTATTCATGTGGGATCCAACACTCGTATCTGGGCTCCTCCACTTGTGCCAGCCCAGGCACGAACAGCTCCTTAGACTTCTAACCCAAGCCAGCCAAAAATGCTGCCCTTGTTTTGCCTCATCTCTAATGGGGAATCAATGAGATGTTCAAAAGGAACTTTTCCTTAAAATTAAAGGAAAGTATTTGATTATCACCGATCAAAAAAAAAGAAAAGAAAAAGGAAAACATGTTTCCAAATATTCTGGCCATAGGAAAGTGGGTTCAAGCTCTGTTCGGCTCCAAATTCCCTTCTCCCAGGCTGACCCCTAGGCCCCTAAAGGGTCCTTATACTCCAGTGTTTCCTTCTCTCCCTGTTCTCTGATGTGACGTTCCTAAGACCTGGTGAATTTTGCATTCTGTTTTCTACATCTGGTCTTGTGTGCTTGGCCTCATTTGTCTGTAGCTTTCCTGCCTGGGTGCATTGCCCTAGGAATCTCTCTGTCCTGTCAGCATCAGCTAGGCTGTTAGTGCCCTGGCAGGACAGGCAAGATATCTGCAGACCAGAGGAGAGAAGATTCTGGGTGTTTTCTCCCCACCAATACCTTTGCCTCTTCCTGACCTTTCTGGGGCTGAGGAGTAGTAGCGGCCTCCCACGATTTCTCATTCCTGAATGTCTTAACCATTCCTTCTAAGTTTCCTTTATTCTGACCACAACTCTGCATTAAAGTATCTTCAGTTAAATAACTGTACCATCTATTTCCTGATGAGA